AAGGGTAAGTTGGAGATGGGGCGAAAGTTGTTAAGATTGTCGAGAGCCATGTCAGGCTATTTTGGCACGGGGGTAATGGCAGCAGTTTTGAGGACCGTTGGTACAATGCCAGTGCTCATGGATTCATGTATAATATTGAGGACAATGGGACAGAGAGAAGAGAAACAGGACTGGAATAAAGTGGTGGGAATGGGATCTAAAATAGATGTGGTGGGTTTCATGCACATAACTAGTTTGAAAGTGTAAGCAGTAATAATGATAATGATAATAATAATAATAATAATAATAATTATTATTATTATTATTATTATTATTATTATTATTATAGTCCAGACACTGCAGCTGGAGTTTGGGCCAGTTCATTGGCCCATTGTGACAGAGATTACCTGAATGGTGGCATACAATTAGCCACATGCCATCATGGGTTTCAGATGGGGCCAGGGTACTATTCACTTTCAGCAACATAACTGCAATCAGTCCATCAGTCGATCATTTGAGGCAAATTTTGTTAACTGAAGCCTGCAGTGTAAAAATGTCCACTAGTACACAATTTGAAGAATAAGTGATAAATGAACAAAAACATGTGTTGTCTTGGCACTGAAAGTGAACTGGATTTGTTTGCCAGGCCCAGAAAATACTGGTTCACCTGAAAGCTTTTATCAAGCAATTTTTGGCAATAACCCTTATATTTGCTATGTATTATATTATATTATAAATGAATTACAAAAATAAATAAAATACTGTTCCAAACCTTAAAAATGAAAAGGAAGAATTATGTTGTTTTCCATTTACAAAGGCATTTTAAGCATTTTAATTTTAATACTCTAGACTGTGCTTGTGTTCAGATTCATTTCTATGCTAAAAATGTTTATTAATAACACAGAAATTGGTTTTAGTGACGGCTTCTACTAAAATCAAAGTAAAGCAATGCTTTTGTTGGAACTGGTGTAAGAAAAAAGGATAATTCCACAGTGCACACCTGATTGGCCTCAGAAAGTTTCACTGGACTCTTTTTTTTACAAGCTGGCGGCATGAGCTGTCTGAAGATGTAATTGGGGGGGTTTGCTTGAGGTCAATGGCTGTCAAATGCCATCGTCATCAGAAATTTCTGTCTGGTACTTGGGCACTGTAACTTGTCAGTTAATGAAAGCTACTTTTATATTCAACACAGGAGAAAACACAGAAATTGTAAGGCTTAGGTGCTGAAGCTGCGAAAGTGGAGATGGAATCACAGAGTTATGCAATACAGAGCAGGGTTTATAATGCAGCATTAACAAAGGAAATGAGAAAACCACACAGCAAATAACAGGCTTTTTATGCTAAACATTAATGCCACTTTTTAAGTTTAGGTACAGTTCCAAGGGACTTCAAATAAATGGTTTGTAAGAAATATTACGTACAAATTACTACATAAGTCTAGACAGGACATTATTTCTTTATTTACGTTGGCAAATGCAGAATTTGGTTTTAGTCAAATAGTAATTTTAAATATGTATGTTTGGACATATGTAAAAATAAGTAAACGTGTGAACACGTAAATATTTATGTAGATTAGTAACCTGTTATCCACTTCCTGCAATAAACAGAAAGAGTAATTAAAACAGAGGCTATATATTGTAAAAGGATATATGTGATTTCCTTTCTATTGCTACTAGAAAGGTAGACAGATGTTTAACTGCTCCTGAAGCACCAAACCGGATTTGGTCTGAAATGGAGCACAACATTTTTAGTAATAATTGACTTAGTTAACTATCTAAAAGTAAATGATCATTAGAAAACATCTGTAAAGACTATAATAAAAATGACAATGAAGAAAGTCACACATTATGAATTACTTGAATGAAAACAGCCAGATTATTCCAAAGTAAACCTTTGCTATGAGCTTGTAAAATAATTTGTCTTGTGGTTAAACAGTAATCTTTTATTTAGTTTTTCAACAATACCATTTGTTATTTCTCAATAACAGAAAATAATGTTGAAAAAGAGACACTTTCAAGTGAAAGCAGACCAGCAGGATTAACAGTCGGGCAATTTATTTTTTCCTTCATTCTTGGTGTGTCTCTTCACTCAGCTATTAAACCTGTAGTTGTGAATTCCATATTCAGTATGAAAAATAAAGTTTAGTTGAACAGCCTTTAGATTCAGAAGCTTTGAATGATAAACTGAATGTAATGAACTGTTTATCAACACACAGTTAAATTAAAATAACTGACTTGTCACTCTTTTGTTGTTCGTGTTGCCGTCAGGTATTGGGTGTGACTGGAGCAGATATTAGAAACACTTAAGATTAAGTCAATTTCAAGGCATGATTATTTTCTACCAATTGCTCTCAAGAAAATAATAGATGTTATTCCTCGACTGTTGGCAAAACTTTTCCCACAGTCATTTAGGAGAGGATTAATACCCACTGACTGGAAAATGGATAATGTTGCACACATCCATAAAAATAGTGATTATCAGAACCTACTATTTATAATCCAATAGGTCTTATTACAGGTGATCTTATGGAAATGATATTAGAACTTACCTGGCAGATCATATCTGTAGAACAGTAGGGTTTTATAATATAGCAAACAATGATATAGAAAAGGTATGTCTTGCTAAACGATTTTGCTATAAAACAGTAATATATACAGAGAAAATGACATGGTTTATGCAATGTTTTTGGATTAAGAAAATTACTGCAGTATCACAAGGGCCTTTATTATGACCACTTCTCATCCTAATGCACTTTCTGTGGGGGAGCAGAGTGCATTTAAAAGTGAAAACAGGACGTACTTTTCACACAAAGATTTGTGGGAATTTGGTACATATTATCCAGTCATGTTGTAAAAGCAGATACCCTGGGTTCTAGAAACAGATGGATCCACAATTGATCAATTAATTATCTATCATCTAAATAACACAGATGAGCAGAACGGCCTTGTCTTGTCTGTAGCCTTTGTTTTGTTCTTACAAAATTTTGTGTCACGTTTGACTACATTTTGTCTAACCATGTATTGTATAGCTTTGCAAACGATAAATTAAGGAAAATATTAATAGGACAATAGGGTAATGAAAGTAAGTGAACAACTAAAGATAACTTTGTGTGTGTGTGGAATTTATTAATGGCAGATTAATGTATTCCTTCAGTAAAAATGAAAAACATCATTAATAGTTTCTAACATACCATTTGAATATGCATGTTTAAATCAGATTATAGTGTATATATTTATATTAAATATAATATAAATATAAATATATTAAAGGTGGGTAGCTGCGTCAGCATGCGTAGGCTGCAAAGGAACAAGTAATAGGTTTATTCCATGCTGAAAAAAAGAAGAAAGAGAACACAACGTTTCGGCCGTGGAGCCTTCTTCACACCTGAAGAAGGCTCCACGGCCGAAACGTTGTGTTCTCTTTCTTCTTTTTTTCAGCATGGAATAAACCTATTACTTGTTCCTAAATATATTAAAGCAGTATTGTTTAACTACACTGTCTACAGAGCTGCATAGAGGTCATAGCATCATAACAGAATGATACACAGACTCCAGAGGTGATTATGTTGTATTCATGAAGAATGAAGGGGGAGAATGTCCCTAATACAAGTTCATGGAGTTTTATATATTCTCTTTACCTGTCCACCTCTCATTACACCACTGCAATTCATAAAACACTTAAGATTAAGAACTTGTTTGTACATGGTATTTTGCCATGCCCTGAAGGCTTGCAACTATTCTTGGCTTTGACCAAAAAATGTTATTAAATGCAAAAGCCATACACCAAATAAAATGTAAAATCAATAAGTTTAAGGTAAGTAGCAACAATCACTCCTTGCTGACAGAACTCTTAGTTTAAATGATTTCTCCATGTTAACTGGTTAGTTGTCAAATATATTTTCTGAACTGACTATATTATTAGTTAGCTTCAGTACCATAACAAATATATTAGTTTACTATACAGTTTAATACAAATAAATTAGAATGTTGGTGATTTGTAAAGCTTGTTTTTATACAAAAGCAATGAACTATTACATTTCTCTTACTATCTACATATTCATTTCAGGATGTCAATGGTCTTTTTATGCAAAAAGGTGTCATTTTTGTGTGTGGTTCACGCAGTTTACCATTACCTTTGTGATCCAAGCTAGCAAATATTTGAGTTCTGCTTCACAAGCCTTTGTGAATCATGCTATGGGCATTTCCTTTGTCAAGTAACATTTTATTGTAGTGCATAACTATGTGCAAGCAAACCTTACGACTATGTTTTCCCATGTAAAACCTAGTATTAGAATAGGCAGACTACCTATTTTCCAAAGTTATTTATGACACATAACCACTTCACATTGTAAATTAAGGAGGGCAAGCATTTCAAAGCAAACTGGACAATGAATCCCTCTCATAAAATCTAGAAGTCTGACTAATGCTGATATTCTTGGCCTTCCCTGTGGTGTGTCAATAGCAGATGCTGACAGCTTCAACATTCTCTGCTTTGCTTACCGATTGAAGTTGTGACACTCTTGTGACTGCAGTCAGTCGTTCTTATAAGGAAGCTACATTTCTATACATACATCAAAATCCAAAAATGTTTTTTTCTTGTATGAGCACTGCTCTTATTATATGATGTATGTAAAACATGTTGTGATTAAATTAAGTTCATCCAATACACAATACATTCTGCATATGTATAAAAATGTCTTCAAATATTTTCATTTCAGAGTAAACGTATATATTACAATCTTCTCATAATTTTATGAGACTTCACACTACATAATTGATTTAAAGAGTAAACTGTTAAACATTTATTTTGAATATGAACACTACGGACTGCATTACACACTCTTAAACCTCCTCAAGTGTGTTTTAATAAATAATTTTAAGTTAGTCTAAAATATGCTTAATGCTTTCAGACTCTATAATATCAAGAACAAAAAAAAAAGAATAATATGGACCAATCCTGCAATCGCCAAACGTTATGTGGAAGGGAGAAAGACCACGTGTATTGGTCTGTCGCAGAAATATGACGTTAAAGACGGTGACGTGTCTTTGTTGACAGCAGATACAGGGGGTTCGCTTTAATTTTCAACGTTTGTGAGAAAGGCATGGTTTAGAAATGGCTGTTGATATAACGTTATTGTTCAAAGCGAGCGTAAAGACTGTGAAAACCCGAAATAAAGCCATTGGGGTTGGATTCGACAGTACAAAAGATGACATCCTGAAGAAAACCAGACTTAAGAGTGACTTCTCCACAAAAGCTAAGGAAGTGGTGAGTGTAATTACAGTCCAGAAATAAGATTCTGGGAATACAAACATTTATAAACCGTCTGTTTTACAGAGAGTTTAGTTATGCAGATTACAGTTATTTTTTCATTGACCGAATATGTAAGGTGTTTTAAATCGGAATGTAGCACCTACACATTTTCTTCACAAAACTGTCGACTTTCTTAATAAATCTCAAATAAATACATTCTAAAAGTGCTATATCATAATGCAATAAGAAGTTACATAAATAAATTATCTCCATTTTCCATTAATTTTGGTGTCCAGAATTTCTACTCGCCTTAACTTCAGAAATGTATAAATGCAAAGTCTGTTTGTCATGTTGTCATCATATTGAGCCGACATGGCGTCAGTTTCAATAGCGATATGCTCAGGATGTTTTTTTTTAATGAAAGAAAGCGTGGGATTTTTATACTAGATGCACATGTCGAGGTTAAGATACACATCAAGGAAAATGTAACTATGAATATATAGTCTTTCTGAAACTGTTTCTTTACCTAATGTGAAACCTTCTGATGTATCATCAATCGTAACTGAAGTTGCTGGTACTTTACTCTGTGGTACTGCAGCAGTACTTACACATTGTAAACAGTGGAGGACTGCAAGTAGTGACGGACCCGGTAGATGGCATTCTTTGCTCTGGAACAGAAAAATACAGTGCAGTCTTAGTGTGGTGACAGAGGATGTGTAGTGTGAGGGTACACTTGAACTAAGGTACACTTTAAAATGGAGCCTGGCATGCAGATACCTATGGTCAAATACCAGTCATTTCTCAGAGGCTCAGGTGTTATTAAACCTTAATAATTACCTTCAGTATTTTATTCTATAAAAATTGAATTTTCATATTTGACTTGCTGATAGCATTCTACTGCATCCTTTGCTGGAATATGACCTTTTTCTGTTACAAAAGATTCCTGGTTCATAAAGACCTTCTCACCACACTACATTTACCCGAAATGTATCTGAACATCTAATGTCACAAAAGCAGAAAAGAAATAATTTGACTGTGCAGACTCTTATTTAGCATTATGAAGATTTAGCCAACAACTTAATTTGATTGTTTTTTTTTAATAATACAAATATGACGTAAACCTTAAAGTGGTGGTAAATTATAAATGAGCAGTGTTACTGATCAGAGGCCCAGGTAGTTTCTGTCATGATGCATGAGGCATAATATGAGTCGAATCATGTTAAGAATCTGTCCTTTTATTCCAGAATCATGTTTAATAGGATTAGGTTATTTTTTTTCTCTCATTTGAGAATTTACCATTCACTTATTCTGCGTTACTCTTTTCCCCATAGACATTTACTGAAGGGCATTTAACATGTTTATTTTATCCTATTTGGTTCGTTTAAAAGTTAAGTAAATGCTTTTACTTTTTTTTTTTTTACAATTCTGGATGTAGTCCTTGTTAATTTTAAAAGATACTATTTGAACTATGAAATAACCAAATATCCTTATCAAAGCTTTATTCGTTCAGTCCTTGTTTGTCAAAAAGAGGAAATTGTAAATTCTTCTGTTCTTCACCATTGCATACCACCCAAGTGAAATTTCATTTAGAGTAAAGTTAAAGACAACTGGGGTTCTTTTGTTGTGTGAAGTCGTATTTCCCCAAGAGAAAAAAAAAAACCTTTTTCTTTTCCTTTTAGTGCCATATTCCTGCACTGTCAAGTTATAGTGACTTCACCTTGATGCAACATCTGAGTGTAATTTATTTTTTTATTGGAACCGTATTTTCTGTGCCTAAAACCTTTGACAGAAAGAGCCTCTTGAGCTCTCTAACTGTTCAATGGGACAATTGTACAAGGAGTATTCAATTGTTGTATAGTTGCACTGTTAAAACATCAGCTTTAGCAGATACGACCAGTTAGAGAATGCCTAAGACATTGGAATTGTGAAGAGCCAAAATCTAAAGAGATCTTTAACGGAAGAGAAATGGAAAATTGCAGGAAGATCCAACATCAATAAACTTCACAATAGAAAGCCACTGGTAACATAGAATTCATGATTTAACATTCAATCAATGAATAAAAGAGATGAAAACACATTAATTAAATGCCATCAAGAGCAGGGCATTGCCGTGTTGCATTCTGAATGTGAAATGCCTAGAAATCCTATGCAAGGAGGTTGATTCAGCTGCTGGTATCTGTCTCCCTTGTAAAATTGAAATTGTTTAATCGTCAGTTCTTAGTGTTTTGCCCATGTAGCATATCAATCAATGTTTATTCTAGCAATTTCTAGACGTCAGCTGACATTCTGTACGGTAAATTTGGCCTTATTCATTAAGTGCTTCTTTCTTCCATCTGTGTTCTGTTGAAGCATTTCAGTCTTCAAAACAGCTGAACCGGTGGCACCAATGTTTTTAGAATAGTGGAAATCTACATAAAGTTTATGAAACCTTGTATGCATTTCAGTATGAACATTAGGTTATAGGCAAAGTTTAAAAATAAATATTTAAGAAAATAATTGTAATGTAAACCAAAGATTTTATTGCCGTGAATCACAATTTCTCCCTTCTCTTTAACAGTTAAAAAGTTCTTAGATTTTTTTATTTTGCCTCTCTAAATATTTCAAAATGTATAGTTATGAAAACAAAGGACATTAATGTGTTTTTATCTTCATCTTGAATAATACAAAACATGAGGTACTGAATAAATATTTTCATACCTGTTTCTTAAAGAATGCAGACTGTTTGAAATCGGCTGTAAAATACTATATATAGTGGTTTCAATATAGTATTAAAAAATCATATTTTATGAAATACCATTTCAGCAGATTGGTGAGGGGCTGTTTGTATTACATTATACCTATTACAGCATATAAAAGAAAAATGCATTTCTCTTTTTTCCAGCATGTGTGCAGCTGGAGGGAATTTTGTTATGAACTGTGGTTTTTCCTAAATGTTTTGATGGAACAAGTTTGAGGGATGCCATTTCCAGCAAAATTACAGGAAGCCATGGGGGGTATACTATTAAGGGCTATAAACTCACAGTGATGTGGTGAAAAGTAATACAAAGAGTGGATTTTGTAGCTTAAGTCATATTTTGTTACATGCTCAAAGGTTTACTTGACTATTGTCTGTGTGTTATTCTCAAATTATAATTCTCAAAGGGAAGATGCACTTAAAACAAACCGTTTGCTTTTAGAAGTGAATAAAAAAAGAGCAGCTAAAGTATGCAGAAATTTTGGAGGTAGTGAGTTTTTAATTTATTAACTGAAAATGGATACTTAGAGAAATGTTTAAAAAAAAGGTTCTGAAACACTATATTGGCCGACTGTGTCATTCACAGAATTCCCTTTTTTTGACTTGGGTTTTCTGGTCCAAAACTTTAATACATTTTCCCCTTCATGCATTACTGTTGGACAGGGAGCAAGAAACAGTACTAGTTTTGCATTGACAATTGTAGCCACGTAGTATATTAAATTGCAGGTCAAACGTTCTGACCTCTTATTGTTTCTGTCCTATAGGATGCTCCCAAAACCTTTGAAAGATGTTTCTATTTCTTTTTCATTATAGTTGTCAAATTGTAGAAGAAAATACAGTCATGGTTGTGAACAGTAATGCTGCTTTCTTTGGTTATTATCAAGTAGTTTTCTGCACCTGATTAGTCTGATGAGTGGCTCTCTGCCCGGGAGACCCTGGCCATTCTGAAGAGACGCTTGTGAGTTAAAGCCCTTAGAGCATAGTGGTTTTTAACTTCTTTATTTCAATCTGCAAATTTAATATAACAACTCTTGGCAATTATGTTTCTAAAGAGTTTAAGTAATTATAGAATTGTTCATTCATCTAGTGTTGGTTAATGCATTTTCACAGTCTTAATTGCTAATTTCATTGATTATAAACTAAAGGTTTAAGGTCTTTACAGTTTTCAGGGTCTTCTAAAATAATACTGTAGTAATTATTATGTCAGGATGCTCTCAATTGAAGTTGAAATATTGTTTTAAATTAGGAAATGTGAAGAGCTTGAGTAATTCTGTGTGACTGTAAGATGATGACTATTTCATAAGAGATAATATTATCCCGGGGAAGTAGCAAAGACAAAGAACTATCAAACCACATTTGCTCTTAAAATGTACCGTTTTCCTGCCATTTTGGTAAAACACTGTATTTAATTTCATAATTAAGGCTTGTTTATTCTTCTTTAAAATCCATATAAGTATACTGTTATCTCAAAAGAGGAGTATTTCAAAGCTCTTTATAGTTTCTAGATCATTTGGCTAATATGCTGCTTTTTTATTAAAGAATGCATCAATCTACATAAATCTGTACAATACTGAGAAGGAAACATGTTCCTTTTTTTTTAATCTGGAGGTTTTGAATCACTGAAGTCAGAATCACCAACTAAATTATTTCACGCATGGAAATATCAACTTGTTTATTTCTCTTAAGACATGTTTCATTCATGCCAAATTATCAAGCATTTTATCCTTTCCACAACATATTAAATTTGGAAATCAATATGTGATTTAGTGTTTCCATAAACATTAAGTTCTATAACATTTTGTTATTTAGTTCAAACAACAATAAACATTTTTCATACATAAAAGTACATAGCATTAACTATTTTACACTCTCTGTTCTTATCACAAGAAAGTATTCTCACAATTCACAATGTAATTGTTAAATGATACTTCTTGTATAATATCTAAAAGCAGTATTTACCTGTTGAATTGTTTGAAGACAGTTTCTAATTCTTTGAGGCATCTTTCAAAGATAAAACAAAATTCAGTGATTAGCCTAAACCCTTTTTCTTCTTTCTGCATTCCACCAAATTGGCTATACAATTGTGTTGTGTTGTGATGAAAATTGTCAGAGGTCTTTCAGATCTGTTTTAGAATTACAGTTTTTTTTCCATTTTAAATCAGATTTTCATAGTACTGGAGAAAATAGTTAGCTATTTGTTGTTACACATTTGTAATATTACTGTAAAGGCATTGCTTTTTTTAAATAGATTTTAAAAAGAGTACAAGTTTGTAGTTGCATA